CTCTGCCCATTCCCAGACTGTCACCTAGAAGAAGCATTCCCACACTGTGTTCACCAGGTTCTCCCCTACTTGGGCATCTGCATGGGGTGGTAAGTCACCTTCCCACTCCCCAGGTGCTTAGGGGGGTCCTGGGTAAGAACTAGTCTTAGACACTATTCTATGCCTATTGTGAAGACCGAAGAATGCAGACAGGGGTCATTAGCACAATGCACAGAGCTGATGGCAAATGTGCCTCCAGTGTGTCTAGAACTGGAGAGTTTCAGCCCACATAGTCCTTGTGCTTGCCAGCCTGGCAGTGAGGCCCAGCACACTGACACAGGAGTGACTGGGGAGAGGAGCAGGGAGCTTTTGCAGGAAGGGATGATTATTGCAAGTGGAAAACTTTAGAAACCTAGCTACAAGTCCAGGTACTAAATTCACTCAGAGGACTAGGCACGGTGGCTTATGCCAATAACCCTAGCTTTGAGAAGCTGAGACAGGAAGATGCTTGAGGGGAAGAGTTTGAGACCAGTTGGACAAGATAGCAAGACCCTGCCTCTATAAAAAAAAATTAAAAAATCAGCCAACATGCCAGGTGAGGAGGCTCACGTCTGTAATCCCAGTGTTTGGGAGGCCAAGGCAGGTGGATGCCTGAACTCAAGATCAGCCTGACAAACAGCAAGACCCTGTCCTGGAAAAAAAAAAAAAACAACAACCGGGCATTGTGGCAGGTGCCTATAGTCCCAGCTACTTGGGAAGCTGAGGCAAGAGGATTGCTTGAGCCCAAGAGTTTGAATTTGCTGTGAAACAAGATCCCATGGCATTCTACTGAGGGTGACAAAGTGAGACTCTGTCTCAAAAAAGAAAAAATTGGCCGACATAGTTATAAGGTACCTATAGTCCCAACTGTTCACAAGGCTGAAGCAGAGGGGTCACTTGAGCCTAGAAATTTAAAGCTGTAATTAACTATGATAATGCCTCTACACTCCAGGCTGGGCAACAGAGCCAGACCCATTCTCTAAAAAAATTGTATCTGCTCAAAGGTAGAGTTGAATCTACTAGGGCAGCTCTTCCTGTTTCTTTTGTGGGTTTTTTTTTTTTTTCGAGACAGAGCCTCAAGCTGTCCCCCTGGGTAAAGTGCTATGGCTTCACTGCTCACAGCAACCTCAAACTCCTGGGCTCAAGCGAGTCTCCTGTCTCAGCGTCCCAAGTAGCTGGGACCACAGGCACCCGCCACAACGCCCGGCTATTTTTTGGTTGCAGCCATTATTGTTGTTTGGCAGGCCCTGGCTGGATTCGAACCAGCCACCTTAGGTGCATGTGGCTGGCGCCTTAGCCACTTGAGCCACAGGCGCCAAGCCGCTCTTCCTGTTTCTTTGTGAGGAAGCGTGATTGAGGATAGAAGAAAGCCCACACTAGAGACAAAGGGTAGAGAATGTGACTGGTAAAGGGCAAACTTACACCCCTGAATTCTTCATCTCCTGACCGGAAGTCACCAGCTCCATCATCTGCCAGACACAAAGGATAGGAAAAGTCAGGCCCTCAAGGGTAGTCCCACTCACTGTTTTTGCCCTCCCAAGCTCACTGACTATAGTGGGAGTAAGGGAGCAGGGGTAAAATACAAGAGTGTCAAGTGTTCATGTTATGAACAGGGCAAGGAGAGCACTGGGCAGGCCACTGACTTGTCTTATACCCATCTGGCCCAGCAGGGCCCCAAGGCATACCATTTTCAGAAAAATCTCCTTCACTGTCAGCCCGGGCCAGTTTGGCATCCGGCTCCTCGTAAATCTGAAACTGCTTCCGTTTCCTGCCCATGCTGTCTGGTCCAAAGCGGTCAAACCCTCTCCTCCTAGGCTATAGACACAAGCACATTTCATGTACTACTTACCTGGATACCCCAAAGAAATAAAGAACAGACAGTAATTGTTAGATCAGGGAACACAGGCAGAAAAGATCTTTTCAAAAAGTGAAGACAGACAACAAATTTGGAATTCACAGGAAACATCATGCTAAGTGAAAGCAGCCAGAAACAAAATGCCACATGTTGTGTGATACCTTTTGTATGAAATGTCCACAACAGGGAAACCCACAAAGATAGAAAGCAGACTGGTGGTTGTCAGGGGTTGAAAAAAGGGAATAGGGGATCACTAATGGACAGATTTCTTTCTTTCTTTTTTTTTTTTTGAGACAGAGCCTCAAGCTGTCCCCCTGGGTAGAGTGCCGTGGCATCACAGCCCATAGCAACCTCCGACTCCTGGGCTCAAGCGAGTCTCCTGCCTCAGCCTCCCAAGTAGCTGGGACCACAGGTGCCCGCCATAACGCCCGGCTATTTTTTGGTTGCAGCTGTCATTGTTGTTTGGCGGGCCCAGGCTGGATTCAAACCTGCCACCTTAGATGTATGTGGCTGGTGCCTTACTCACCTGAGCCACAAGCGCCAAGCCCAGATTTCTTTTTGAACTGACAGAAATGTTATATTAAACTAAGGTAATAGTTGCATAATTCTGTGAATCGAGTAATCAGACACTTACAGATGAGTGAACCTTGTGGCATAGAAATTTTACCTCATTAAAGCTGTTAAAAAGAAAAGCAAAAGCACACCAACAGAACTTCCTGAGGGCTTACCCGATCTCGATCCCGCAGCCGCATCTGTGACTGGCCACATCCATAAGGCATTGGGCTGTCATAACTGCCCGCCCCCTGCATGCCCATTACGTTGTAGTCAGAAGCCATGGACTGGGAGAAGAGGGATGGAGGTGGCCTGCTTGGGGAAGGGCCGCCCAGGCCCCGTCCGCCCACATAGTTCAGCTCATTCCAAGGAGTGGACATAGGCTCAGAGGCTGAGGGTGGCATGAAGGGGTCACTGCGCATGAAGGTGCTGGGGTTGCTCCGGTCTTGGAAGCGGCCCTGGCCCCGGCCTCGCATGAAACCGTCAAGGGAGCCTCGCTCTCGGGCTGGGTCCCGGCAGTCATTGTACTGCCCACCAAAGCTGCCATTGCGGTCGGATCCCAGGTCAAAGTCATAGTCATAGCTGTAGCCTGGGCGGTAAGGATTGTGTTCAGGCAGGCAAGGCCTGGAGTCATAGGACTCAAATGGCTGGAAACGGAAGGAGCTGCAAAGGAAGCACAGCCTATCAGGGGAGGTCAGGGGCTCTGCCCAGGCCACTGACCTCTGTATTCCCTGGGTACAACTTCAATGGTCCCCACCAAGCTTACCTCCCTAGATTCAGGATAGGAAACTAAACTACTCCACACCCCACTAAAATGCTTAGGAAGTAAAACAGACCAACCCCCCTCTTTTGAACACTGTTGAATGAGGGTCATGGATAGAGTCCTTAACCAGAGTAGACTGCTATTAATACATGACGAATCTGAGGTAGCTTAGCTGACTGCTACACCCCAGATTTCACCACTTAGGAAATAAGCAATCAAGGCTTATTCATGGGGCTCCAAATGGGCCCTACTCATCCAAGCCCCACACAGTGAAAAAACAGAAGAGCCCTCCCTGATGAGCAGGTGCACATTCCCATGTGCACAAAGGTGGACATAAAGGGTCCCAGGGGAAGGGCTTAGGTCCATAATCACCTCTCCCGGTCCTGCATGCCCTCCCCACTGCTGCCGCTCCCTCCCCTGCCTCCTTCCTTGGACATCATGTCCAAGCGCTGGTTGATCTTGGCAATGAGGGAGTCAGAATTGTCCGTGCATGGCTCTGGGCCATAAGAGGCCATGTGCATAGCAGGGGCCCCCGCTGCCAAGCCACCATCACTGGCCTTGGTGGCCTCCCACGAGGCTGGGCCATAGCTGTAGGTTGCTCCTGAGGTAACACTGGTGTTCTGGGCGCCATAATAATTGTAGTTTTCATAACCTGTCACAGGGAGGAGGAACTATGTCAGACCTCAACAGCCACAAGACCCACCCATATGGAAAGTTCTGGCAGCAGGGGGTGGGAAGAATCACCTACCATCCACAGAGAAAGAAAGGGTTATAGGACCAAGTGCTGCTGGCATCACTTTATGTTGTGCTCATGACCTAGCAAGAGGCAGCAATAAGAGGCCAGAGGGAAGGTGGCCTCAGCACCGAGCAGTGGTTTCTGTGCCAGACCTTAGAACTTGTTCCCCATATAAAGCCAGGTGGCTGAGAGCCTAGGAATGGCAGTTTGGGCTACTGCTTCCATAACAAAGCTACAATCCTCTCCAAAAAGCTCCCCTAAGGTCACTGGGGAGTCCACCATACTCTATTCTCAAAACAACAGTCCTGGCCAGCTGGGCTCTCAGCACACACCTAAGAAATCCACGCCAAATCTCCACGACAGCCTGACCCGCCCAGCCTTCATGAGAGCTGTTAAGCACAGCCAGGGTGGAGGTTAAGGGTGCTTATATCCTAACCCATTTGAGGGCTGACCAGAATCCAGCAGCCCACCTGCAGATCCCCAGAACTTACCTTGCCATCCAGCCACACTGGTTCCATATGCACCTTAGGTAAAAAAGAAACACACAAGAGTTCTGTTTGCAGAACAAAAACACCCGCCCCTCTTCCCCCAAGGATAGCTGTCACCTCACTCTCCTATCCACAGCCCCCAGGGTCATAGCTCAGGGGAGTTTGGTGCTCATTTCCTACAGAACACTGGGCTAAGAAAAATCAAGGCCACTCTCCCAGGCAAGCCTCACTTCCCGTCACAGCAAGGGAAAGGACACTGCACACTCTCCAGGAAGCTCATGCAGTGTGGGCCATCAGCTAAGAGGCTAGGCAGGCCAGGGCTACAAGCAGAACCCTTATAAAGGGCCAGTTCCCACCAGAGCTCAGCCTCTGCCAACTACATAGGAAGGCAGTGACAGAAAGTCATGTCCTCAACCAAGCAGCAAGGGAATGTTATGTGCCATGAGAGACCTGGAGACCTCTTCCTGGGACAGCTGGTGATGGGTAAAAAAGCAGCCTTGGCCCCCTTATTACCAGGGACAGACTTTACGCTCAAAAAACAAAGGAGTCCCTCATGTTCTGGAACAAAGGCTGGTATAAGCAGAAAACCTCCCAACCAGAGAGCACACTCTGGTCCTGCAAACAAGTTGAACATCATCATCCAAACTCTAGAGCAGAGCTCAGCAAAAAGACCCCTGAGCCAAATCTAGCCTGTAGCCTGCTTCTGTACAGCACTTGAGCTAATGGATTTGACATTTTTTTAAATTGGGGGGGGGGGGATTCAAAAGAATATTCAACGATAGGCTCGGCGCCTATAGCTCAACCGGCTAAGGCGCCAGCCACGTACACCTAAGGTGGCGGGTTCGAATCCCCAGCCCGGACCCGCCAAACAACAATGATGGCTGCAACCAAAAAATAGCCGGGCGTTGTGGCGGGCGCCTGTGGTCCCAGCTACTTGGGAGGCGGAGGCAGGAGACTCGCTTGAGCCCAGGAGTTGGAGGTTGCTGTGAGCTGTAATGCCATGGCACTCTACCCAGGGGGACAGCTTGAGGCTCTGTCTCAAAAAAAAAAAAAAAAAAAAAAAAAAAAAAAGAATATTCAACGATAGATGAATTCTGACATGTCACACACCACTTACACTTTTGTCAAAGTTCAGAACTATACAATACAAAGTAAATTTTAATGTGAACTATGGACTATGGTTAATATCTATCTGCACTGGCTTATTAATTGCAACAGATGTATCAGACCAATGCAAGACCTTAATAATAGGACAAAACTATGGAGGTGGAGGTAGGGAAGGTATACAAAAATCTTACTACCAGGTAAATTCCTATAAATCTAAAGCTGCACTAAAAAGTAGTCCATTAATTAAACAAAATAAAAATGTTTGATGAGGGCGGCGCCTATGGTTCAAAGGAGTAGGGCGCCGGCCCCATATACTCAGGCTCAAACCTGGCCCCGGTCAAAAACTGCAAAAAAAAATACAAAAAGTTTGATGATACCCTAGCTATTTACTTACAATAAAATAAAATAAAATTTTTTTTTGTTATTTAGACAGAGTTTTACTTTTTAGCCCTTGATAGAGTGCTGTAGCATCATAGCTCACAGCAACCCAGTTACCTAAAACTCCTAGGCTCAAGCGATTCTCTTGTCTTAGCCTCCCAAGTAGTGACTATAGGCACCTACCACAATGCCTGGCTATTTTTAGAGACAGGTCTGGCACTTGCTCAGGCTGGTCTCTACGCCGTGAGCTCAGGCAATCCACCTTCCTCAGCCTCTCAGAGTAGGCTAGGATTACAGGCATGAGCCACTGCGCCCAGCCCAGCCTTTTTTTTAAAAAAAACATATCTCGACTGTTTTTGTACTAGAGACTATGCAGCCCAGAGCCACAAACACATTGATTACCTGACCCTTCACAGCAAACGTTTGCTGACCCCTGGCCTACTATTTCCACTTTACTTCAAAAAAGCATCAGGTTCAGCTGGCTCAACGCTCACAGCACAGTGGTTATGGTGCCAGTCACATACATCCAGGCTGGCAGGTACGAACCTGGCCCAGGCCAGCTAAACGACGATGGCAACAAAAAAAAAGCCAGATGTTGTGGCGGGCGCCTGTAGTCCTAGCTACTTGGGAGGCTGAGGTAAGAGGATCACATAAGCCCATGAGTTTGAAGTTGCTGTGAGCTGGGATTCTACTGAGGGTGACACAGTGAGACTGTCTCAAAAAAAAGAAAAAAAGCATCAGGTTCAGCCTTTGGTATAGAAGCCCGTGCCTTACCCACAAGGCAGGACTCACTTACCCTGGGTGTTGGCAGGTCCTGTACTCCACGCCCCATAGCCTGCAAAAAGATGACCTTGTGAATTAAGATCCTATTTGTCATACCAGAGAATGGGAGCTTCTGAGGTTCTCCGAGGAACCTAAAGAGATTTCTTGAAGAAGTTTAGTGCTAGCCTTACAAGACGATGAGATAATCAGAATACCATCCCCCTAAAAAGGTCACCCCAGCTGGCTGACAGCATCACCACACTCCACCTGACTGAGGCCAAAGCAGAAAAAACGAGAAGGGGGAGAGGGCCTCAAAATCAGCTCTGCCCTGAAGAGACATCTTGGTTGAGGACCTCACCCCTCCAAGCCTCAGTATACAACTGAGGATGACACAGGACAAGCCACTCAGCATTGTCACAGTCCCTCCATGGCCACAAGTACCCCATAACTGGAAACAAACTTGTGACTTTGGTGACATAAATTGTAGCTCTTTAGGCTGCATTTCCTCCACTACTTCCTTGGGCCTTCATGTCCCACGGTTATCCTGGCCCTAAGACATCTGCCTGCCTGCACTCTCACCCTTTAAGATCCTCCCCCCTGAGTTGGCACCCACAGTTCAGTCGTTAGGGTGCTGGCCACATACACTGGGGCTGGCGAGTTTGAACCTGACCCGGGCCTGCTAGACAACAACTATAACAACAACAAAAAAACCCAGAATCTCTTAAGCCCAAGAGTTTGAGGTTGCTGTGAGCTGTAATGCCACAGCACTCTACTGAGGGCAACATAGTAAGACTCTGTCTCAAAAAAATAAAATAGGCTCAGCACCTGTGGCTCAAGCGGCCAAGGTGCCAGCCACATACACCTGAGCTGGTGGGTTCAAATCCAGCCTGGGCCCGCCAAACAACAATGACGGCTATAACCAAAAAATAGCCAGGAGTTGTGGCAGGCACCTGTAGTCCCAGCTACTTGGGAGGCAGAGGCAGGAGAATTGCTTGAGCCCCGAGTTGGTTGCTGTGAGCTGTGACGTCACAGCACTCTACCCAGGGTGACAGCTTGAGGAAATCTGTTTCAAAAAATAAAAAATAAAAATAAGAATAGAAAAACGGCTCGGTGCCTATAGCTCAACTGGCTAAGGCGCCAGCCACATACACCTAAGGTGGCGGGTTCGAATCCCCAGCCCGGACCCGCCAAACAACAATGAC